GAAGGCTGCGAGGGGACCTAATATATACTTACAAATATCTGAAGGGTGGGTGTCAGGAGGATGGGGCCAGACTCTTTTCAGTGGTGCCCAGTGACAGGACAAGGGGCAATGGGCACAAACTGAAGCACAGGAAGTTCCGTCTGAACATGAGGAAGAACTTCTTCCCTCTGAGGGTGATGGAGCCCTGGAACAGGCTGCCCAGGGAGGTTGTGGAGTCTCCTTCTCTGGAGATGTTCAAAACCCACCTGGATGCAGTCCTGGTCAGCCTGCTGTATGTGACCCTGCTTTGGACTAGGTCATGCCCACAGGTCCCTTCCAACTGCTACCATTCTGTGTTTCTGTGGTAACAAGGAAAAGAAAGATTGCTGACTGGATGAATAGGGACGTTTGAGTTCCTTCCATCTTGGAAGTGGCACTCCACACAATGCAGCACAGCAGTGTGTAGATCAGGCTGCAAATGCAATAAAGCAGAATGTCTCCCGTCATGGCACAACTTACTGGGTGGGCTGAGAGACTCTAACCTCTTCAGTAGCCTCTGTTTCCTGCTCTTGTGCTGCTCTTCAAACCTGTATTTTCAGGAAGTACTGCCAGTTTCTCTCTTTGCCTCTGGTTCAGGAGGCCATAGAGGCCAGATACAGCTGATGGCATCACCTGGCAAGTAGCTCTCAGAGTGTGAGTGGATCTGTGCAGTAGCTGGACCTACTTGCATCTCCCTTCTGCTGCACATAAATGATATGACTCCAGCTTTGTCACATCATCTGGTACAAGGGGCAAATCTCCACAAAGTACCTGACCAAGAACAGGTGATCCAAGCAAGGGAATACACCCTCAGCCTCTCACTGCTTATTCATATTCTCTGTTCTTTATTCATACTGAGACTACCTCTGCCGCAAATCTACCCAGAAATAATTCACAGCTCAATGTGACTTGAACACAAAGCTGGTATGAATTAAGTTAAAACTTACCTTGAAGAAATATAAATGTTAAAAAGACATGTGAGAGAACGTAGGTATCCTGGCCAGTGTCTAGGTCTTCTGTCAAATTTGGAAGTTCCTATTTAAAAAGTAAATAAACCCACCAAATTCATAAACCAGCTATATTTGAGGTACAACTTATTTTGCACACAGAATGTTAATAATTCTGCATAAATACTTTATTAAGACTGTATAGATGGTACCAGTATATACAACTTAGGTATATTTTATTTTAAAATTAATAATTTTATTATTGTAATAATTATTAAATATTTTATTCTTAGATGTCAGGACGTGCTGGAAGACGGGGACAAGATATGATTGGAAACGTGTTCTTCTATGATATCCCACTGCCCAAAGTTGAAAGACTTATGAAATCCAATGTACCTCAGTTGAAAGGCCAGTTTCCTCTGACTATTTCCTTAATATTGAGACTCATGCTGTTGGCTGTGAAGGCTGATGACAAAGCAGATGCCAAAGCAAAGGTTTAATATTTTTTTTCTTACTAGCAATTTAATTAAATTATAATGTCTGCTTAACATGCGCAGAAATTTACGCACTTCAGACGTAAGCAATCAGCCTCCAAATGAAGTTGCATACTCTACTATACTGTTTCTAGTACCATCTTCTCCACAGTATCATACTGTCTATTTTCATGCATTTATCCTTTGCAATAAATATTACCATCACAAAGAATGCTGCTATCAGGAAGGTATTTTTACTGGCTCTTGTTCTATGCAATATTTGCATTAGCTTGGAGGATCAGAAAGTCTTCCAATATTTAAAATTTCAGCTTTATTTGAGGAAAAGATGTGAACATACAATTCCATAGGGAAGAGGGGAGCTATGAAATGCTATCTATCTCAGTTGAAACAGTGAGAAAATTCTACATATTACTTGTTTAAATCCGCATACTAACTTTCTGGAATAAAAGAATTCTTATTCTTGCCATTTAATGCAGTTTTAAAAGTAAACAACCCATGACTATGATTACAAATAGGTCAGAGATCTCCTCTTATAATTATTAAAGAACTCTGACCTCCAGATGATCTGTTTTTCAGATCCACTTCAGCTTGTAGACATTTATTTTCAAGGACTCACTAAATGAATTCAGATATGAGTCTTCATAAGGTAGCAATGTAAATCGGTAAACTTCTGTGGTAAACATTAAAATATTAAAATAGTATTAAAATATAAGGAGTAATTTCCAAACTTCCTGGTTTTAGTTTAATGACATTTAAATCCTTATCTTTTAGATCTCTATATGAATTTCATGTAATTAATTTTTCAGAGCACAGCATAAATTTAGAAAATGCACACACATCTGACAGACAGAGGACGGACTTTTTCACAAGCATTTCTAGGAGTTAGGCATACAATTTAAATAAAAATAAAACATAACCCCCACCCGGCATTTTTACTCTGAAAACCAACTGATGAAACAAAGCATAAAAGCTGGATATTGAATTTCTTTACTTGTTACAGTATCAACATTCCCTTGGATTTCTAATTTCTTTTTTTTTTTCTGTTTGTTTGACCAGGCATTGTCAGTGTTGAAGCATTCATTGATGTCATTCAGAAAAGAAAGATATGCTGAAATATTAAAAAATTATTTCATGTTTTCCTTGCAATTTCTTATCAAAGAGGTAGGTTTTAACTCGTTCTCATAAAGGGCAGTCCTTTTAAATCTACAAATTCTCATTTGTCTAGGTTAGTATGCTTTCATTTAAAGAACCATATATTTTATATTCCATAGCAACAGGCTCTTTCTTTCTGTTAGAAAGAAATTTAAGGAAACTGATAAAATCAGAGTGCTTTAAATTTGCGTTTAATTCTGAGCTACTTACGTTATGAGATAAATTCAGTAGGGAAAATCTTATGGTATAGTCTATGATAACAAATTGATTAGGAAAGTAAGAGCATTTATACTGTATACGTGAAGATGCATGCATGTGAAATGATAGGGGTTTAAAACATACTAAGGATGACATGATTTCCAAAATGCTGGGAGAAATTATATCTCTAACAAAAATTTAGAAAGTACGTCTTCGAGAAGGCTGAAAATTAGTGGTGTATCTCTCCATTGTAACAGTTTCAATTGGATGGTTACCGTTTTGGAACATTTTTATGCATTGCTCCATTTTGGCTTACAGCCCAGAACTACAGGCGGTAAGAGGCACTGATAATGTGATTACATTAACAAATCATCTATGCCCAGGTTTCCCAGTCCTGCTCCCACCAGGAGCCCTAACCAACATTTCTGCCTCCTCTGCTGGGTGTCCCTTGCATGTGAGACCAGGAGTCTGACACTCCCATTGATGAGAAGAATCTAGTGTACAAGAGACATTAGTAACATTACCAAAAAGTTACAGTTAGCGTAAGAACTGGACAAAACCTGGCCCACCTACCTGGTATCTTATCTCCAATAATTTTCCCCAGGAACTGTATTAAAAAAAAAAAAAAAAAGTGACCATATAATGATGATTCTCCGGATACTCTCTGCTTGCTACAGGATGTGATGCAGAGTGATCTCTGACAGGAGAGGTGTCCTGGAATTTATGGCGTTTGATGGAGTTTTATTCCTTGAGTTTGTCCTGTTGTTTTTTGAAGCTATGTCAACTTCAAGCACTCACACATCTTGCAGCAACATATTTGACAAATCACTGCTTGCTGTACTTTTATCCCATCAAATATTTTGGGTAATAGCTTTTTTTAAAGAAAGTTGCATCAAATCTTACTTGGCTGACTGGGTGCATTTTTGATTTGCAACATGATCTAAATTGGCGCTAAAACTATGAAATCAAGAGCTATGCTTTGCACAGGGAGATAGAGATCTCCCATGGAAGTACTCTAATAGTTGGTAACTTGTTTTTCAGTAAGGACAAATTTTTGCCTTTCAGTGGAAAATGAATGGTCTCAGTAGGTACCTATGCATTAGGTTGAATGACTGTTCTTCTGAATGCCACCCTTTTGTATTTTTATCATATATAAGTTCATCTTTCACAACTAAGCTTTTTTTGCTTTTAAATTAAATAGAACTACTTGGATCAAGAAGGTAACCCCATAGGATTTTCTCGACTTGTGACACACTTGCACTATTATGAACCTTCAAATTTTGTTTTAGTGAGCTTTCTTGTGAAAGGTTTATTCCACAAATTGTGCCAGCCAATTAAAGGTAAATAATACTCCATGCATCTTAATTGCAATCTATGGCAAGCTTTGTAACCCCAATGGTTCTGAAATTTTCTGGGTGCCTTCTTGCTGCTGCCACCTTTTGCTTGCCTAGCCTTCATCCTCATATCCTTGGCCTCTGCCTCTACACACTCTGCATATGCTTATATTTGTCTGAGAAAGCCAGAGCACCCATAGGGCAATGTTAGTATTGTGAACCTAAATTTACTGTTTGTGAAACATTCTGCTGAGGTAGAAGGAATGCTATACAGAAAAATTAATAATTCTGACTCCAGAGCAAGATTTGAATGCCATGTAGCAAATAAGCAAATAATAACAAATTAAAAAAATGAAGTACTACTAATATCTCATTACATGAGTAAAATCCATTCTGTGCACTGAGATATGCTGCAGTATGCAAACATACAAGAATACAGTATTAATTTTTACATATTAGTTGCTTAATTATCTGCCAATTTTTTGTATGTAATGAGTTGATCTTTATCCAACACAGTTTTGCATAACCTCTGTCATGACAATGGCAGCTGTGAAGGAAACTCCTGTATAGGAGTTGTTTATTTTAAGCAAAAAAAGTTTTTTTCTTTTTTTACACTTTCATATTTAACCCAAGTACTTTCTGTTTTCACATAGGCTCAACTGTTTTTTCAGAAGATGTCCTGGAAAAGCTAGTTCTCATTCTAGCAAACCTATCTGGGAGAAAATATCTGCCAGCCTGCTCAATGAAATACAAACACAAATTTTGTCAGTCAAAGGTAGAGAAAGCATTGGTCTTTACTGTAAATTATGTTGTGTACCACTTCAATGAAGTTGTTTCCTTTTGTCAGTTAAGACTAGTGTCATTATGGATGTACAGTAGTCTGGTGGGCCAGCAGGTAGCTGTCCACCCAGCCGCTCTCTTACTCCTCCATCTCAACAGGATGGGAGAGAAAATAGGATGGAAATGCTCATGGGTCAAGACAAAAACAGGGAGTTTGCTTACCAGGTAGGATCATGGGCAAAACAGCCTTAACTCATGGAAAATTAAATTAATTTGTTGTTAATTAAAATAGTTTTTGGTAATGAGAAGCAAAAAAAAAAAAAAATTTCAACACCACCTTTCCCCCCTGCTCCCTTCCCCAGGCTCAACTTTAGTCCTTCATTCCTGATTCCTTTACCTCCCCCCAACCCCAGGCAGTTCAGGGCTGATGAGAAATGAGTTGTTGTTGTCAATCCTTAACAGCTCGCTCAGCTACTCCTTCCTCCTCATGCATCACCCCTGCTCCAGCGTGGTCTCTCCATGGGCTGTAGTTCTTTCAGGAAACATCCAGCTGCTCTGGTGTGGGGTCCTTCAGCGGCTGCTGTGTGGATATCTGCTCCAGCATAGCCGTCTCCACTGAGAGGGCTATAGGGAAATCTCTGCTCTGCTGTGGTCTCTTCTACAGGCTGCAGGGGAATCTCTGCTTCATCACCTAGAGTACCTTCTCCTAATCTTGCTGTTAACACTGCTGCTTCTTACTCTGCCTGTGTGACATTTTTGCCCTTTCTTAATTAAGTTTTCACAGAGGTGCTGCACCTGTGCCTGACGGGCTCAGCTCTGTCCCATGGTGGGGCCATTGGAGCTTGCTTTGTCTGTCATGGGGCAGCCCTTGGCCTCTTCTCACAGCAGCCATCCCTGAACTGTGCACCCTCACACCCCCACACCCCCCATCCTGCCAACATCTTGCCATACATGCCATGCAATACAAGTAGCTAGAATAATGAAAAAAATACTTACTGGATTAAAATAAAGAAGCCTTGATTTAACCACAGAAACAGCAGTTGATTGTCAGGTTAAATGGTAAGTACCAAATTATTCAAGTACGTTTTAATGATGACATGGTTATACAGTTACTGCCATGATATTGCAAAATGTAAAAGTGTAAATGACACAGCATTTCTTTGTACAATACAACTCAAGTATCTCTCCCCCAAACAGCAATTTACTTTCTTCTTGCTCTGCTAGAAACTTGTCTCAGTCTAAGGGGTTGTGGACAAAGTTAACCCACCATGGGTACAGGCAGAAAGTGAAATATTTGTAACGCACTCCTGTTGGCTCTTCTGTGCAAAGCCTTAAAATTTGGGAGGACACAGCTATGGCTGGAACAAAAAAGGAAACTTTTTGCACATGAAGATGCTTCTGTGGCCAGTTTCCAGCAAGCATTCCAAGAGGGAAATTGTTACTTGTTTCTGAAAAGTGGCTGGTCATCTAGGAGGGATTTACGGGACTGCTGTGGCTCATGGCAGCAAAGCATTAGTCTCATGTTGGTAGGGAACCTGTTAAACACCAAGATATGCAAAACAAGATCTGGGAAAGGCAGCCCTTTGAAAGTCCCTTTTTAGCTAACAAAAACATCTTTAGTAGAGCTGTTTGCCAGGTACTCTGTGAGTGAAAATCTGGGAATTTTATACTCAACTCTTTATCTTCCATGCCTTTATCTGCATGAAATTCACGTTCATCTTTAAGATCCGTTAATTCTAGATGGTCAGGCAGTCTGACAAGTTGGGTAAAGTTTGGAGCTGTACTCTTTCCTTCTTTCTACTAATATGCTAGGTGTGTACTAATGCTTTATGTATTCACAAATGTAGAACTGATAATTTTGGAAAAAATTACCTGTATTAAGCAATAAACTGCATGTTATTTCAGGTCTTTCTAGAAGGTCTGCCAGAAGACTTTGCAGATGCTGTAAATGAGTACAACACCAAAGTAAAGGAGAATTTTGCTCGTTTTCTTATGACAACTGCCAAGCTGGCAGATATGAAACAAGAATACAAACTTCCACTGTCAAAGACAGGTAGGAAGTGAAAAATTAATGCATAATCATAATTTGTGAAATTGATTTTATTATGAAAGTTAGGTTCATTCTTATTTTGTAAAGACAAAAATTGTGACTCCAGCATACTGATAAAAGATACAATTTCTATTTCACTTTTGTTTTACAAACATTATAGATTATATTGTATATGGTAGAAATTTTGTACAGGAAAAGGATTATTTTAGTTGCTATTCTTTTATATTTTGTGGCAAAAATAAAAATCAAAGAGACTTTTTATAAAAAAGGAAAAATATATTAAGTGTAATTATTGAATTAAAACCTCCTTATCTAATCATTAATGCAGTTGCAGATCCTCAGATGCCTGTGATACTTGAATTGCTTTTAGAATCTTACAAAGGTTAGATTTTCAACATCTGAACAGCCTAAGATTGAAGTAACAGTTAACGAAGAACATTGCGCCATTTGTTAAATCAGTTAAGGTACTTATGCCAATAAATGATGTCCAATAACCAAAGCAATATGAAGAAACATGACTTTGAAAGAAACACTTTCCACTACATTTACAGAAAAAGAAATGCAAGATCAAACCATGTCCAGTTAAGAGGTGGTAGAGACTTTTGTACTTACTTACCAGAACTTGGGGTGAGGCTGCAAAAAAAATACGTCCAACTGCTGAGATTTTTTAATGAATCCCATAAACAGTGTAACTACAGCATACTTATGATAACGCAAAGCAGAAAAGGTTGCAGCATAAGGATTGAAAGTATCGTTGATGATTTGGAAAGGAAGAAAGGAAATAGAAATATATTTAGAAATAACTAGACAGGTCTTCTACAGGCAGTGATTGAAGTTAAAGGCAGACCATAAGCCAACTGAAATGCCATGCTGTGGTAAAAACAGAAATTCATACTGGGCTGCATAAAGCAGAACACTTGTATGTGACAACTTTCACATACTTAAGCCCTAACAGGGCCTCAGTTAGACTATTCATTCTTTAGAGCTCAGCGCTTCAAGAAAAATGTTGGCTGCGAATCCAGAGGATAGCAATAAGAATTTTTAGATGTCTAGCTATTACAACCTACGAATACAAGTTGAAAAAAACTGTTTTTCTTCAGTGTAGGACAGAGCAAAACGTGGAGGTAAAATAAGTCTTCTAACAGTAGTGTTCCTTTTGGTTTTGGCACAACTTCACGCTGTTAGCAATTTTAGCTACAGATGTGTCAAGGAGAAGGGCTGAAGTTGTGAGTGGGGAATTGAGACATAATTATTCTCACCACTAGAAAGCTCTTTCTTACATACTATAATAAATTGCTTAGAGGTTCTTATGAACAAAAGAAACAAACATGTATCAAGAAGGATTTAAGTTTAGAAGATTAACTCTATTTCCTATCATTATGTACTGAACTGAAAATTTCTTGCTTTTAACATAGATCGCTGCAAGGCAACTTGAGTCTGCATAGCTTACGTTATACTTGAAATTTCCTGCCTAGATTTTACATCTAAGAATTGGCGTGGCTCTGAACTAGCGTCTTATTTGATGGACAACACCAAAAGCATATCTGCCATCTCACCTTTTGCATGTTTATCTGGAGTGGTTGATAACGATCTATTTCATGGGGAGATCATTAATAAAGTAAGTTATATTTTCATGGGGGGCAGAATTTTATTGCAGTTCAAGAAAAATAATATTTTATTACAATCTTCTTGCCTCTGTAATATGATGGCACTATGCTCAAGTGTCACTCTTTAGGAGAAACAATTTGAAAGGTCTCAAAAAAAAAATCAGCACTGAATAGAAAGGCCTCTTCTCCTTTCAACTCTGAGACAAGCAACTTGCTCTAAAGTTTCAGATTCAAACCATATCCCCAGTTTGTTTTCTTCACGTCAGGAGTTGGTTTGGGTTTTTTTAAGATCAATCACATGGTAGTCATAAGGATCCTAGAAAAAGGATGCATTATTGCATTGATCATTTGCTTCTCAACTAGGATTTCAGTGATCATGTTAGATAGCATGTGAATGAGCTTAACTGTAATATACATCAACAAGTTTACTGTCAGCTTGCATTTTCCTGTGGTCTTCTATACGGGCCTTGTAGCATTACGGAATTACCACAGGACTCAATTCTGCAATAGAAAAAATTAAATTCCTAAAACTGGGGATTTAAAATTCACCCTTAACCTGTAAAATGTTCCATGCTTAAGGTTGATTAATACATTCAAAGCATCAGTGAGAAAGTCTGAATACATGATCCATCCATATGGAAAATTCCTCATCTAAAACTCAAGTGGCCTGTTCAAACTTTAAATTACTCAGAACATCCCAGCGCTGCACTGGCAGTGTAGGTGACTTGACTAACAAAGCCCTGCTGTGTCTACAGCCTACATGTACCTCTGCAGATTTTTTGTGCGGTCCAGCGTTAGAAGTGTGGAACTTTCCAGCTGTGGGTCTAAAGGTGTACGTTTGACAAAACAGGCATATAAGCAAAACCACAGTAGCTATTCAGCAGATACGTTTTTTTTTCTTCCTCAGGCTGTCTTACGTTCCCTTGGAGTTAATGTCACAAACTGCCCCCTGCTTTACTTGCACAAGTATGATAATCAGGGAAGAAGGAGGCCACTCAATGCATATGCACTGGACTTTTATAAGCATGGTTCCTTGATTGCATTGACAATGGATAACTGGTATGTACGACCATTTTAAATGCGGTTAAACAGCAGCATTGTTTACAATGTTGTACATAAGTACATCTTTTTCTTTTTAAAGCCTTCTCCCTCCAGAACTTAGGGATGGAATAGCTGTTAAATATGATTAGATTAGTTGAATGTTTTAATGAGAATAAAACGTATACTACATTAAAGTCCAGTGGCAATGGCTGCAAAGTGTTAGCTGGGTATTCAAAACAGTACCATAAATGGGAAGTCTTGACTTGCATGACAGAGGTTATCTTGACCGAAATCTCAGACTACCTCTTGTTGCTTGCTGCATCGAAAACATAAACTCTTTTCTAGTACAGGAAGACTGTCATCATACAAACCTGACTTTCACAGTAGCAAACCAAAATTTGCCAGTAATTCAGTATTTGTATCAGTATTGCCTCAATATTTCCCCTTTTCCTAATCTTTTCTAAGCATTTAGCAACTTGTACTGATAATTCAATTTTGACATCTCTCTACTACGAAGTTACCATCTTCTAGATTACTCCATTGGGCTTCCTAATTTCAGGAACTTCCCTGATCTTTTTCACTGTGAAAAAAACCTTGGTTAAATTGAAAAAAAAGCTTCTGAAGAGCCTGTCAAGCTTTTACACTTGACAGAGCTCCAAACAAATAATCTTTGACACACTTTCACCTTCCTAGTTAAGCAACTTATAAAGTGCATCAGTCTTCTGTTTCTTTTCAGAAGCTAAATTTGAGATTTTCTTTCTTTTGCTCTTACCATTTACAGCCCTGTTGTCCTCTTCAGTCTTTTAGAGATGCACCTGCTAAACATGACGTCTTGTCATTTTCATCATCACGTCTGCTTTTGAATCTCACCAGCCTTCTGTAACATTCCTTGTTCATTAAATCCAGCTCTTTATAAAACGTCTAGCTTGCAGTTCTTAATTAAGCCATTCACTATCTGTTTTATTCCCAATCTCAGCTCAGAAAAGCTCAACCACAAGCTCCCTCTCCCAACTATCAAGTATCTTTATTTTGCCTTTGTGCTCATAGCCAGTAACTTCTATATGAGTAAGAAAATCACAGAATAGAATGTTTCCAGGGATAGGGCATCTACCACATCTCTGGGCAACCCGTTCCAGTGTTCCACCACACTCACTGTAAAAAAATTTCCTCCTTACATCCAGTGTAAATCTACCCTCTTTTAGTTTAAAACAGTTACCCCTTGTCCTATCGCAGCAGAGCCCTGCTAAAATGCCTGTCCTCCTCTTTCGTGTAGGCCCCCTTTCAGTACTGAAAGGCCACAATAAGGTGTTCTCGGAGTCCTCTCTTCTCCAGGCTGAACAGCCCGAACTCCCTCAGCCTTTCCTCACAGGAGAGGTGCTCCAGCCCTTGGATTTTTGTGGCCTCCTCTGGCCCTGCTCCAACAGGTCCATGTCTTTCCCGTGCTGAGGGCTCCAGAGCTGGATGCAGGACTCCAGGTGGGGTCGCACCAGAGCAGAGGGGCAGAATCCCCTCCCTCGACCTGCTGGCCACACTGCTGGGTCATGCAGCCCAGGGTATGGTTGGCTTTTAGCACCTCACTCTGGTCCCTGAGGGTGCTGTTGGGAGCATGTAATATTACCTGCTGTTTTGTAAGCTCTTCAAAGAAGATTCTAATAAGAACAATTAGAATACACATTCCATGCACTGTTGTAGTTATAATAGCAGAGTTTGATACATTATCAAGAGATGAGGAAATATAGTTTATAGAATCACATTCTTTGATTCTATCAAGCTGATCCAGTGAAAGATGTCCCTGCCCATGGCGGAGTTTGACTAGATGATCTTTAAAGGTTCCTTCCAGCCCAAACCATTCTGATGCTATTATTTTCAACACAATACAGATTGTAACTTTTTTTTTTTTAATGTTTTTTAATGTGGTATTCTTAATTACTAGGGACTGAGTTCATAAAGTTACTTTTCAGTAATCAGTGGTCCTTTTTGCAAAATACAGGGTCTTCATCATCTGTAGAACACTGAACACTTATGCTGTCTCCTGCTCAGTTTAGCCAGCAGATTCGTCTGAAGTATAGCATTCCAGTTTAGCTTGTGACAGCTTAGTTATTCAAACAGTTGAAGCCATGTTCCCAAGGTAATATTAATAAATTATCTTTCCAAGTATTACGCATATGACTCATGAGTCTTTTATATGTTCAGTATAGTTCTAGAAACGTGTCTCTATAGCATTATTAATTATTTTAAGCTTATAGTTATACTACAGTAATCCTAATGAACTCGTATGTCAGTGTTTGAGGCGATGGAACGTGCTCTCTGCATTCTTACTCAACCTACATGGCAGGGTTTATTCAAGGTGAAACAGTGTGTTATAGTGCATAACCATTTGAATTTTTTTCTTTAGGTTAAATGAAGGAGATGCTTACTGCGCACTCAAAGATTTTTCACTCCTCATTAAGTCTATTGGGTATGACAAACTCATGCTTTTCAATATACAATATATATTTAATCTTTCAAGCAACATAAAATGAAACTATGCTTTTTTTTAAAAACAAAAACACAGGACATCCCTGAGTGAACTGTGTGATGACCCAAATGATAACATTCTTCTGGCATTTCAACAACTGGGTGAAATCTATGAAAAGAAACTGAAGTGTGTTAACTGAAGAAAAAAACACAAAAGGCAAAAAGCAGCAGCACAGACTACTCTTACGATACAGATCAGCTGCCTTTTAAGTTTGGAAGTGACTAGGTCTGAGTTATCAAAAATGTTTCATAATAAAACTTTAGTAATATCCAATATTAGTAATATAAAATTTACTTTAGAAAATTTACCTTTACACACTGACATTTTAGCAGCTCCAACATCAACTAAATATAATTATTTCTAATAGATTACAAAATTAGGTAATTGCACATCTCTTTCAATTGCACATTTTTTTTTCAGGAAGTGATATATATGTTAAGACAGCTCTCAGAAGTAGTCTGAACAAATGTCAGTTCTGACAGCTGGTGAGATGAGCCTCTTGGTAGGATAGAATTGGAAACTTTCAGCCTGGTTGTGAAGGATGTTCAGCAATTACTTTGGTAGTTATAATAAAATAAATTGTTCTAATTATTTTCAAAGGTTTCTATTAAGTTATGATGTAGTACTTTCATGAACCATTATAAAAGCTTTTAAACCAGTCTGCAATTTTAGTCTACAAAATTTTAAGTATAAAGAGGGTTTTATATAAGTACAATGAAGTTTGATTAATAAAATGTTCAAACCATATGAAGAATTGCTTCATTTTTCACCTCTTGTATCCTTAAGAGTCAGAACGATCCAGGACACCTCAAGCATTATGTGTCAAAAATCCCTTGCAATACAAATCACCGAGTTTCGTAAAATACATTTCCTAACTATTTTCTTGTTTTTTGCTGGAAAGAGCAACGTTTCAGCAGTATTTTCATACTATGCCTGAAAATTCTTCAGTTTAAGGCTACATTTTAGTCCGCTCGCAGTCTGAAAAAAATATACACACACATACTAGTGTTTAGATAACCTAGGAAAACTAGGCTTTGACAACAGCCTCATTGCCGCACACAATTTTATAACGATGACCAAGATAGTGATGGAAGTTGTTGATAATAAACAAAACATGCACTAAAGACAATTCAGAATCCCACTTCTCCAAATTAGCTCTGGTGTTCATCACGTGATCACTGATGAACTCTTTGACTTGAAATCTCTTTAGGCAGCATTGCTAGGACATACCGGGGGAAAACCTGTATGTCATCAGGTAGTGCTGCTGAGCTGCCATCAACTGACTTCAACTCTTCCTTCCAGTTTTTTAATGCGTGAAACAAAATTATGTCAGAAATGGAACATAGTGGAGGAACAAACTGCTTTAACTCTGCTTGGACACTAAAATTTACTCTAATTATTTTCTTCACTGTGTGACCAGTCATGCCATATGTAGATAAATCCTGCACAACTGTTGTGCAGCCAGGGTAGAAGTGACCTTAGACTTGTCCATGTTTTCTGATATAAATGGAGTAATCTTTTTAGCTAAGGCCCAATTAACTGACCACTGAATAAAGTCAGAAATTGGTCCCACTGTGTTCTCAGTTATTTGACAAGAAAGTGTGAAATCCTGGGTGAAAACCAAACTTACTTGGTCTGTCACAGGATACTAATTTTATATGCTGAAGACTGTAATGTCTCTTAGAGTGTTAGTAACAGCAGTCAACATTTCATTTTTAATAAAGCATATAAAAAGCACCTCACTCCTATTACGGCTTTTAGTAAGGAGTCAGTAGTGAAAGATGACCAAGTGATTAAGTCAAGATGACCAAGATGACCATCAACTTGTGAAAATATCAGAAAAATTGATAATTCAAATAAGATTTAACAAAGATTTAACATCTGGGTGGACTGCAATTTTACTGTGATCTATTGTAAGTAAGACATCCTGCTTAGGATTTATCTGCCCTGTAAAACCTTAATGCTGGGCTGTAACGCACTTAGACAACAACTTGCCATGCTTGAAAAACAGTCTTAGGACTGTACTGAACCCAGACATCAACAATTTCTGCTTTTAAAAATAGTGTATCATAATCTTTTTATTTGCTTTAAGATTTTACAATGGTGTATTTTCACAAAAAGATGAACTATCTGCTTCAAAGTTTAACACTATCAAACTCTCATGAAACACTAACAGAAATGAACAGAAGATACGTCAAAAATAAGCAATTTTAAGAAACTCAGTAGGGTTTCTGAATAACCCTAACTCATTAGGAATTTTTTTTGGTCACTGTAGCAGAAAAAAACATTTTCTACAGCCTTCTGACAACAACCTTTATAGATGCCTTATCTCTCTCTCTAAGTTGTTCCATTTCTCCATTATAGTGAGATCAACCTCCATCCATGACAGTTTCTGCCATTATCATCATGCTCAGCCTTTGTCATTCAACTTAAGACCTTTTTAACACTTCTTTCCTACACAAACAAAACATGACAGGAATGTCTAGAGATAAAACCAGAACAATTCTTACGAGAACAGAGGAAGACTTAAGAGAGGAACATAGAACGGTAATGAGAATTTTCACCATGTTCCTTACTATAATGCAGATGCAAAGGGAAGATTACTAAGTTTTATAAATTCTAGAAGCTATTTTCAGGACATTTGAGAGAGCAATGCACTGCCACAGAAAAACCAAGGCCAAGAATTTAACACAAATCAAATTGAAATTAGGCCAACATTTCCTAAACCAGGAATAGCATTTTTAAGTGTTGTGTCACAGTGTCTTGGTAAGCCTTGCAGAGATTTAAGTAATATTTCTCTTACAAAGCTACAAGGATAGTTTAGATTTTTTTTTTTTTTAAGATAATAAATTGCCAGTGAAAAATTCTGCAGGGATATTAAACATTCTGATCTAATACTTGCCAGCTGACATATCTACCTAATGCAGGATTAATTTCTTTAGAATCTGACACCAGCTCTTGGCTGGAGAGTGAACACTATATAAGATACAGCTTTAATCTGAACTAGTACTACCGTCTGCGTATTCTAGGAGATAAAGCACAATTATCTCTTGGATGCAACAAAATAGTTAATAAATTAGAAGAGATGGCATTTTTATCCTCACTTTATATCATATTTCACAGACTAAAAATTCAGTGAGTTCTGGATCAATAACACTTTCAATGAGAAGTGCTGTTTTCCTTTTTTCCTGTTGTTACACAAATTTTAAAAGGAGATTTCTATACTTTAAAAGCTAGATTCTCCAAATGCTTTCATCAAAACAGCAAGTTCGTATCTGTACGCTGATTCCCAAACTGATGCCAAAAGGAGCTGAGAATCAATTGTGACGGTTACTTTTCATAAAGGCAGCGTTGCAGAAGCACAGCTGATACCCTTCCGCAATGTATAGCAACAATATTGATGTGGTGTTTCAATTTCAAAAGCCCAAAAGAAGTTATTGAAATTACACTAGAAGTCGCACCTTCAATATACATTAAATACATAACAAAAAAAAAAAAAACAGCCAAAGGGAGAAACGCAAAACAATTTTCAGTAACGCCCTTCAACATCCTGTATTTTCCCCACGGCTCTGCTCCCTCCCTGCCTCGGAGGTGAAGGCTATCATCCGGGCTCTCATTACCAACCTAACTCTAGCGCAAGCGCTGCCGTACCCCAACAGCACTATGCTGCCTCCTGTTGCTGAGGCTTTGCTGCAACCTGCTTTCTGGGGCACCATTTTTGGTTTTTTCTTCAGTTTGGGTTTGTAGTAGAAAGACCACTTCAATACACTGTACTTGCTGGTAAGCAGTTATGTTTCTAACACAGAGATACCTCAGTTGGCAAGAATCGGGGAGAACAACAGCTGCAAAATCACAAGCATCCCCACTTTTTAATGTGTTAAGTAGCATTTATTTAATTCCAGCTTATTTAAGTAAAGGTATCTTCCATGTCACTCTCTTCACGTCTCTGATTTTCTTCTAGTAGGTATTTTGTCTTCAGCAACAGAAAAATACTCTGATGCACTGCTGGTATCAGTAGAGACTGATGTTTGACTCAGCTCTTCAGTGTCAGAATCGCTGTCACTGGGCACTCCTCCGGCCTCACATACCGTCAGCACAGAACCTCCTACGGATGGATCGTTGCATGGGCCAGGAACAGAACAAGCTGCGTTCTGCAACAGTGCAGACTCGGGCTCATCTTCCATCCTGGGACAGGAACAGTTGTTTTCAGCAACAGTTTCACTTTCTTTCACCTTTGTTTCTTGTTTTGTTGCTGTAACAGTAAGTGGAGTGGAAGATGCGTTCTCGTATTTAACGGGAAGGACAACTGAGCCTAAAGGCTGACTAAAGGAAGAATTACTATCAGTGAGCATTTCTGCACTTCCACTTTTCTTAGATGAGTTCATGGGAAAGAACGAACCTTCACATTTTGGATGACCATGTCTAGAACTAGGCTCTGCACACTCTGAAGATACAGGCTTCCCTGGACTTAGAGGCATTTTGTCAGGAGATTTCATCTTCTCTCTTTCCATTTTTTCAGTATCATTTCCAGACAAAACTCCGGAGGAAGTCAGTGAATCAGAGGTATTTCTGACAGTACTTCCAAATGAAAATACTGGTGAAGGCAACTGCAAACAGTTATTTTTGAAGGAAAATACACAGTTACTGGGGAGACTGGGGGACTCCGAGACATCATTCACCCCAGCTGCAGCATTGGTTTCTGAAGTACTGCAAGCTACAGTCATGATAGATTCTGAGGCACTAGCTTTTTGTTCCCATGAGACAGATGGTTTCTGTGTACCATATTCTGCAGCTTCCCTTGCAGAAAGTGCTTTTTCTCTCATGTGCAAAGATTTTTTACTTTTGTCAGATGGCTTCTCAGACTGGCTAAAAAGTGAGGATAATGGTAAAACCTTCAAGGAATTGCTGACTCCCCATCCTGCAAAACAGTCTCTTTCTGAATTGCCAAAGCGAAATGAAAAATCTGGCTTCACACTTTCTGCTGAGTCTAAATTAGGACTGGTTGAAGCATCAGAAACTGTGGTTTTGGTTACAGTACCATGCTTTCCAAATTTGCTTTCATCCCGGTTAGTGGTCTTATCCTCACGGTCACATTTTCCCAGATAAAACTGAGGGAAAACATATTTCCTGTCTTTCTTTTTAAAGGAAAATGTACCTGCATCTTTAATAAATCTGGGTAATGGGTTGTTACACGCACTGAAAGCAAAAAGTGAAGCAGAAAGTCTCTCTGCAGAAACATCTAGAAATTCTGAATTTGAAACAGCAACAGGTACTGATGCTGCTGGTTTTAAGCCAGATGAAGTGCTAGAATTTGTGTCCGTTTCATTGCAAACAGTAACTGCTGATGCCTGCACTGGCAATTTTTCTTTAATTACTGAGTCTTTAGAATTTTCTGATAAGGCTCCAGTGGTTACTTCCTGGGAATTTCTCTCATGAAATAATTTTAAGTCACCGTTTGTTCCAGGAAAGTTCATACTTGGGCATGGGGTGCTGTGACTACTGGTTCCAGTAATCCAGCTTCCCTCAACAAAGACATCTACTCTTTGCAGGGCTCCCATTTTTGTTTTATCTGTGTTATTTGCTTTGGCAGGCGAAGATACAAAAGGAGTTCCTGAGGACCTGTTCTTCAAAGCCTCAGCAGTTACAAATTTATGCTTTTTATTTGCAGGTAAAGTGTGTGTCTTGAACTCATCGGTGAGCTTCTGATGTTCCATATAGTATTTGTAACGCAACTCCTACAATTACAGCAAAAAAATCCCATTCAGTAAAATGGCATTTGTGGATTCAGAGGTTATAAAACTCACATACAACACTAAGACTGAAGAAAAGTTTTTGTATATTCTATAGCATTCATGATGTATTTTTCCATTGCTCCTGGAAGGCAACATAACACCAGTCATTATGGAAAAAGTTCTTTAAAAACAATTGAACAAGATACACATGGAACCCTGATGACAAAGTAGGTTTTTAAACAGAAGACTATATAAAACTATTTAAAGTCACTGCCAAAACCAGAAATAGCTAAAAATACTAGCTTAAACATTAAGTGACAAATTCTCAGATTGTCGTGAAAAATAACCATCTGAAACCAATTTAGGTGGTGTTTGTTTTTTTTTTCTACTACATACAATAACTATATAAATTGTATTCTCAATGGGAGTAGAAAACAGATGTACTCCAAAATAATACAGCAAAAGAAAAATAGTTCTGTATTTAAAGGACCTAAGCAACTTTTTGGTTTAATCATCTGCTATTGGTATTCTCAGAACATACATTAGGTGATTCACTGCCAGCCATGCTTCACTAACTGTAACTAGAATCATTCTGTACAGAACAATGCTCAGCCACCCACACTGAACTGCTATTCAGTGAAAAAATCTAGTCATATAACTAGATCATTGGAAATGAAACAAAAAAAGAGATTGGATTCAGTTTCATGTCAAATTATCAGGAATTTAGGTAGTCTTAGAAGAGTGAATTCTATTGTCTTCAGAAAACAGAACACAAGCAGATAACTTCCTCTCCAAACAGGCAACAAAGAAGCTTATTTGGATTAGAAAGCCACAGATGTGACTCAAAAAGCCACATTAAAATATAAAAATAATCTCACTAGTGACTTCAGATACTTAAGTTCCAGCTTTCTGAAAAAAAAAAAAAAGAGTAAACTCCTGACAGGTTTAATAACCTAGTCAAATTTACATTCTAACATTAGAAGGGTACCTTTCTATTAAGAAAACCGAAAAAGATTATACAAGTTTATTTAGAAAACTGTCATAACAAATAGTAACTTAGCCATACTTACAACAGATGTTCAATCATACCTCATGACTCAAGTTTTGAAATGCTGACATTTCTGATATTGACATTAAGCGAGTGCAGATCCTGCTACCATCTGCTAGTGCTTCCTCCTGTCCTGCTACAGGCTGAAAAATGTTTTGCAGCAGATATTGTAGTTCATTTTGGTAAGACAAAATAAACAAAATAGTACAGTGTTGTAGCCCCATAGTCAATAACTTACAAGAAACGTGTTGGGTGTATTCTTCTGGTCCTGCCATTGCTTTATGTTAGTTTTAAATAGAGTATTTTTTGCTGAGTTCTCATTTCCGCCAGAAGGTAGATCTATTAGAAAGAATACAAGAATACTGATGACAGCATATTACATATG